GCCATTTGCCATCCTGCCTGGATTAGGTTGTTGTAATTTTCTATGGACTTTAATCACAAACCATGGTAGCACCAAGAGATGCCCTAAAGGATCTCCTACATTCTAGACAATCCAATATCCCCATGGTAATCTGGATCAATCACACCTCCTAATACTGTTATGACTTTCTTAATCTGTTGGCTTTAGTAGCTTATGGTGACATCTTGTTTATACTCTAACAAATAAAGCTTGCCCAAAGATCAAAGGGTGGAGCTGGCCACTAGCCAACCATAGAGGTCTGGAGATTTGTACAGACAGACAGGAAGTGAAATGGCTTGGCTGAGAGAGGAATATAGGTGGGATGAGACAGGAACTTGGTCTCTTTTCAGTCTGAGGATTTCATAGAGGTAAGAGCTCTGCTTCTCTGATCTTTCAGCTTTCACCCCCCAATATTTGACTCTGTGCTTTTATTATTAAGACCTATTAGAACTCATGTTATATCTGACAATGTCAGATCAAGACAACGTCAGGGCAAGCACATGTTCGGCTGTTATGGCTGCCGAAATGGGGAGCTGGTCCCTTCACACTACAGGACTTACCTGCCCTAGTCCAGCTCTGCCTTCATGCAGCTTCTGCCACAGTGCTTCTTCTGCACAATCCCGTGGGCATTTTTTCAAACAGCTGGCTCTCTCTCCCTCTCAACTTCCCAGCCAAAAGGAGACTGAGCTTCTGTCTCCTCTTGCCTTAATACTTCCTCTCTCTTCCCAGCAATCTCACTTCCTGTCTATCTCTTCAGACCTCCAGACCTCTATGATTAGCTAGTGGCTAGCTTCGCCCTCAGATCTTTAGATAAGCTTTATTTGTTAAAATATAAACAAGATATCACCACAGTAGCTCAAAGTGGCCATAGTGGAAATCTAGTAGAAACATTGTGTCTAGGGTAAACATTTAGAATGGAAGAGTTGTTTCTCACTGTATCTAGGGTAACAGTTCAATGTATTAGTGTTTGTTGAAGGTACCCAGACCTTGTAGAGAAGAGTTGCCAGAGTCCGGCCTGTATCAGTCCTATGCTGCAGGGGCCATCTATTCTGGACTGATGTCTTTGGGACTGTGATCGGAACCAGCCGAACAGCCCCGGTTCCGATCCTGAGTGAGGAAGTGTGGATGAGGGAAAGCCTAGCTATCTGATGACATTAAGGATGAGACAGACATCTAGTTACCTCAGGAGGGCTCTCAGTCAATACTGGAGATCATGGTTTATTCCAGCATCATCTTAAATAGCTTTCTAAAAGCAGGGGTACTGGCAGAAGACATCTATTATCATGTATAGAGCTGATATCAAATATTTCCTTTAATCCTAGAGACACTCCATAATGGCATGTCTCAACAGCCTTCAGGCAAGATGTCTCACTAGCCCTCAGGGTGGGCAAAGGCTTGCCCAGGGCCTAGGTCTTTTGTTACACAAACTAGTAGCCATTCTCCACCGAGGCCAGACACCCAGAGGTAATCAGCAGGCATCTGAAAGATAATAGGAGTTCTGAACTCCTAGAATTCTTGGCTGGGTCAAGCATATTTCTGAGAAATAACATTTGGGCTCCAACAAACTGATTGTTTTCTATGATTTTGAGTTGTTTTTCTGATGGAGTTTTCCATCTATTACATGACTTTGCTCACAAGACTATCCAGCACACTTGGAGGTCTTGAATTATTGGGTACTTCAGACAGTACCCAATAAGGACTAAAGGTTGCAGGGTGATGCTTTCCTTTTGAGAATGTATAGAAGAGATTAAAGGGATTTTGGTTTGAGAAACTTGTGCTCCAAACACAGCCTTTGTGTAAATCAATAAATATGCTTCTGAAAGGAGGGTTGTGGTTCAGTTCATAGGAGCTGTTTCTCCCTGCTTCCAGAGAGCCTCAATTTCCATTCTGGGGTGACTCCTTTGAATGACTCATGCAACACAGAACATCTGACGGGGCAGTCTGAGCTTCTAGTTCAATGAAGTGTTTGTAGTGTCTCCTGGCAGGAGCACCACACTCTCTGGAAGTAAAATTTGTTTTTGTTTGTTTGTTTGTTTTTGTTTGTTGTTTTTTTTGGGGGGGGGGTTCGAGACAAGGTTTCTCTGTGTAGCTTTGGAGCCTGTCCATTATGCTGGCCTGCCCGTTACCTGGCAGAATCCTGTCCCAGGGTTCCATGGGAACTAAGTCTGTACGCAGGTGCAAAGGACCCCTTTAAAAGACAGACCCCTGCCCATTTATGTTCTCTCTTCTCTTCTCTTCTCTTCTCTTCTCTTCTCTTCTCTTCTCTTCTCTTCTCTTCTCTTCTCTTCTCTTCTCTTCTCTTCTCTTCTCTTCTCTTCTCTTCTCTTCTCTTCTCTTCTCTTCTCTTCTCTTCTCTTCTCTTCTCTTCTCTTCTCTTCTCTTCTCTTCTCTTCTCTTCTCTTCTCTTCTCTTCTCTTCTCTTCTCTTCTCTTCTCTTCTCCTCTCTTCCCCTCTCCTCCCCTCCCCTCCTCTTTTCTCCCCTCCCCTCCCCTCCTCTCCTCTCTTCTCTTCTCTCTACTCCTCTCTCTGCTTCCACCTACTCGAACTCTCTCAATGGCGACCAGCCATGGTGGTCAGCCATTAATCCTGTTTCTCTTCTTTTTTAGTCTCTCCACTCTGCTGGGCCTTTAATAAACTGGTTAATATGTCTCATCTTCTTCCTCCTTTTCTTTTATTTCTAATTTAAACAAAAATCTAACAGGAGGCCAGTAAGAATAGTCAGGGCTATACAAAGAAACCCTGTCTTAAAAAACAAAACAGGGGGACAGGGGAGGAGGGGAGGGAGAGGGACCTGGGATTGACATATAAAATAATTTTCTTTATAATAAAAAAAGAAAAAACCTAACAAATAAAACAAAAACAACAAAAATTCCTTTTAACTAAGTTAAGACACAGGGCTGGAGAGTTAATTACCTCCTTGAGGTCAAACTGTAAAGGTTCACTGCTGGCCTTGCTAACTGAAAGCAAACTGCTTCTGGTGGTCCTTATGATCAGGTATTGAGAAAAAGGAATTTTTCTGGGTCAATAGCTGTATACTATGCACCAGGAGATGCATTCATCTGCTCAAGTAAAAATACCACATCTGTTACTGAAATTAGCAACTGAAATTAGTTATTGGATTGAGTTTTCAATAGTTAACTGTCATTCTTCATGGCCCCATCTGTCCTCTCCATAGAGTTAAAGGAAGATGTGGGGGGAACCACTACCCCTGCAGTCCTTAATGGTGGCACTAATTTCTGCAGTTCCTCTAGGGATGTGATACTGTTTTTGCTTCACTATTTTCCTTGGCAAAGGCAACCCTAAGGGCTTCCATTTCCAACCATAACAGCTCTCACTCTACAGATCAGAGAACTAATGTGAGAATTCTACCAACGTCTAAGTATATCTATCCCAGTTATACATTCTGGGACTGGGGCAATTAACTACAGGGTGAGCTTAGGGATCCATTGGGCCTATGAGTGGGAGTTCAGTCCAAACTCCACTACTCACCTGACCTTCATAAGCTCCTACTTTAACTGGAGGGCCAGTGTTTCTTGGGATCTCCTGGAATCAGAGTCAGTTCAGAACCAGTATCCAATAAACCCTGGAAGGTCTGACTGTTTCCTCCCCGCCAGTGTAGTTAATCTTACTAAAGGCTGCAGTACCCTCTGGGGAAGCAATGGGGGAAAGGCTAACAGTAAAACATTTAGATAATTTATCAAGGTCCTTCCTCCAGAGAGCCTGGCCATCCCTTCATTGTGGTTCTCCAAACTGGTTCAAATCTGGAAATTGGTTCATGGGCCAAGAATCCCTTTAGCTATGATGCAAAGTAGCCTTTCTTTCATTTGAGAATATTTCCAATTATGCAGATCAAACAAAAATTCATGCTTGGAAGAACCAATATTGATTAGCTAGTACCAGAGATTAATACAAATCATGCCACCATAAAACCCATTATGGTCAGATATTGTTTTGTCTGTTTTGCTCATTACCATAACTACCCTCACCTGGTCTTTGGTGATTAGGAGCTGCCACCTGGCTCATGCTACTTCCGGGCCCAATTAAACCCACTGAGTTCTTTTCTTTTTGGTTTTTCGAGACACGGTTTCTCAGTACCTATGGAACCAGTTCTGGAACTCGCTCTGTAGACCAGGCTGGCCTGGAACTCAGAGGTCTGCCTGCCTCACCGCTGGGATTAAAGGCCTGGCTGTTTTCTTTCTTTCTTTCTTTCTTTCTTTCTTTCTTTCTTTCTTTCTTTCTTTTTCTTTCTTTCAAGACAGGGTTTCTGTGTTGCCTTGGCTGTCCTGGAACTTACTCTGTAGAACAGGCTGGAGGGTGGCCTTGAACTCAGAGATCTGCCTGCCTCTGCCTCCCAAGCACTGGGATTAAAAGCAGGCCACCTGGCAAAACCATTGCATTTAATTAATCCAAATGAGCAGCAGTGTCTCCAACCCTCAGGTCTGGCACAAGGAAAAGGGATAGTAAGGTTCTTCACATGTTCTGGTGTCCCTCGCCATTTTTAGTTACAATGTTAGTGAAGGGCATGTCTTCTGGGCCCTCTCATTGTGGAGGATTACATTTCACACAGCATACACACTTCTACCACTGCAATTTCCCTAAAAGTCCCTTTGCCAACGCTAAACCAAGGGATATCCTGCATCTCCAGCTGCTTTTCAGTAAGCTGTTGGGGTCATGGCCTGTAGGGAAACAAACCCTGAAAGAAGGAAAACTCAAGTTAAGCCTGACTAAGTTGGTGCTGGCTCAAAGTTCCAGAGTCTGACACCAGGCAGTTTATTTTAAGCATATTTAAACACAGCACAATTTTGGAACAAGGCTTCCTGGTGTAATATAATCCCTGATGCACAAGGAGGCATAATTACACTGAAACTCAGCTCAAAGTACTTGTGACCATGAATATGGTTTCTATAGCTTAAGGGCCAAGGATCTTGAGTGGTCTCTGACCCAGACAGCATAGGGATCTGAAGGCTATAAAATATCAGACATCTCACCTAAGGATGGGTTTTATTGACTGATAAACAAAGCTAACTGGGCAGAGTTGGCACATGCCTTTAATTCCACGAGGCAGGCGGATCTTCATGAGTTTGAGGCCAGCTGGTCTACACAGAAGAAACAGTCTTGAAAAAACAAACAAACCAAAACAAACAAAAAGCTAAAAATAAAGGTTTAGGGAGGGAGAGTGAGATAAACATTCTGGGGGTTTGTGTCTGGTCTGGCTCTACAGATAGCAAAGGTCATCAGGTCATAACACTATCCACTCCTGGCCGCCTTCGAGAAAAACAGGTATTTATTTCTTCCTTTAGAGACAACTGTGTGTAGCATTTCTGGTTTCCCAGTGGTCTGTGGACACAAGGACCTTTGTGCTCCCAACAGTAGGTTGTTTTTTCGAATGCTTTAGCCAATCTTTCAAGCAAACTTTTGGCACCTTTTAAAATTGCAAATTTCCATATTAAATCTAGACCTCCACTCGAGGGCCCATATCAATAAACTCAGCCTGATTCAGTTTTCTTTTCCTTCTACTATTATATCACACCCTTAAAATCCATTCTGACACATTCCCCAGACTGCTTGAATGAATGAACAAACTCATTAAGCTCTTTAGTAGTATAGTGCACCTCCTTAGAACTATACTTCCTACCCCTCTTAGGTGCCTGCTTAGCCTTTAAGTCTGGTTTTAGGTGTAGAGGCAACTATTGCCCCCCCCCCCCCCCCCCGAGGGACATCAATATTACCTTGTTTAGAATTTCCTTCAGAGAATGAAGTGTTAATTTTAATTGAACAGAGACCAAATGGAACCCTCCTGATGTAGACCTACTTCTAAAGTGGAAGCAAGGGCTTGACAAAAAGAGAAACAGAGCCTTCCAATTGGCTAGCTATGTCTTAATGGATGCCAGAGGACACACAGCTATGTACTTGAGTTTGTTCCCCAAAACGAGGCAGACAAGGTTTAATTCAGGATGATCAGACTCTGGGGTGGCCAGATCTTGGGAACTATAGGTCTCTGATGCTGAGGATGGGGAACAGGGATATATAGGCCAAGGCTGGACAAGGAGCCTCCTGCTCAGAGCAGGCTTGGCTCTAGTGTGGGAGCAGGGGCTCCTGTCATGGGGACTGGCTTTTATCAGGTGCAGAAGATGTCCCACTGCCCTCAGATCCCTGGGAACTCTGCAACCGATGCAGTGCCTCCATCTGCCTCCTCTTCTCCTTGGCCCGGGTGATGGCTGTCCGGAAGAGCTTGCAGAAGAGATGGATAGCTTGGGGTGAGTCATCGTTGCCAGGGATAGGGTAAGTGATGAGGCATGGGTTGCAGTTGGTGTCCACAATGCCCACTGTGGGGATGTTCATCTTGGCAGCATCCCTCACAGCCACATGGGGTTCAAAGACATTGTTGAGTGTGTGCATGAAGATGATGAGGTCTGGCAGGCGGACCGTGGGCCCAAAGAGGAGTTGTGCATTAGTCAGTAAACCACCCTTGAAGTAGCGGGTGTGAGCATACTCTCCGCAGTCCCGGGCTGTATTCTCAATCAAGTGACAGAACTGTCGGTTCCTGCTCACAAACAGGATGATGCCCTTGCGGTAGGCCACATGAGCCGTGAAGTTCAAGGCCAACTGTAGATTCAAGGCTGTCTGCTCCAGGTCGATGATATCTTGGCCCAGGCGGTTACCAAAGATGTATGGCTCCATAAACCTGCCAAAAAAAAAAAAACCAAGTAAAATGGAACAGTGTTCACAGAGCTACCCTTCCCTTTCCACAGACCCCTACCAGCAATTCGAATGAGGGCACTGCAGACTTCGAGGCACTTTTACTTCACCTGTTTCCCTCTACATCTTGTCTAGTGAATGGCAGGATGGGGGACACAGTGTTGTGGAGTAAAACAAAACCAAGTAAAATGGAACAGTGTTCACAGAGCTACCCTTCCCTTTCCACAGACCCCTACCAGCAATTCGAATGAGGGCACTGCAGACTTCGAGGCACTGCAGACTTCACCTGTTTCCCGCTACATCTTGTCTAGTGAATGGCAGGATGGGGGACACAGTGTTGTGGAGTTGAGCAGCTAGCACCAGGTGTGTGTCCCAACCTGTCCTTTCCCCCATGGAGATTTGAAGGCCAACTGCACATTAAACACGAACGCAGGCAAGGTACTCTTGTCTAGTATTGCTCTCAATGGCCTCTTCAGTTCTATATAGCAGGACCTCTTTACTCGGGTGGCCAAAATTCAGGGGTCCCCAGCATGTAATGACCCTCAGTTTTCACTACGTTTATGAACAGCATCAGTACTAGCACTGCACTTGATGGTACTGTTAATGCTCCAATCAGCGCCACTTCCAACCTTGACCTGATCCCACCACTCTGCCCACACTGCCTGTGCCAGTTACCTATGTCGACAACCGGCTTTATGGCCCAGGTGTACTCGGGCCTCGAAGAGGCTCTTTACAGAAAACAGTTCCTTGACATTGAAGAAGTCCGAATGCTGCAGTGGCACATCTAGAATCCTGCTCTGGAGATCTGAAAAGGGAAGAAGAGAAGACACCGTGGCACACCACCACCAACCAAAGGCTCACGAGTCTCCTGGGAGTGGGGACCTCAAGGCTGAGGAGGAGAAATGCTGGGAAAGATCTGGAAGACAAGGGGCTATATGGTGCTGAAGGGCTAGAGCCAAAGTCTGAGGTGGACTCTCTGTGGGGAAAGCCTGTCACTTCTCTCCTCTTAGTCTCCATGGAGAAAGAGACCGGGGCCTCCTCAACTTCTGGCGCCTCAAATGGCCCGCAAGGAGACCGGCAAGGTGGATAGATTCCAAACTGGTCTTCACTGGTCTCGGGAGCTACTGGGACACGGTGGAGGGAGGGGGCATTCTCCCTCCCACCCCACTTAATGCGATTAGCACAGGGTTCATTCGGGGATCCCGCAATGACAACCCCTCCACGATTCTGCACCTCGGTCCAGCCCCAGCCGCTGGTCTTTACCGTCGCCATCCTGAGGCTCGCTGACCATGGGGACTTGGGCTCCCGTCACCATCCTACCATTCAGCCCCGCTGGGCCCGGGGTCGCCTTCTGCAGGAAACCTGGCCAGCGCCACACACCTGCGGGGAGAGAGCCGGTGAGGCCGCGCCCTGTCCACGTCCCTGCCCTCTTCTCTCGGATCCCAGGGTCCCTCCCGTCTCGGGGCGGGGGGTTCCAAGCTCACCTGCACACCACAGCCGGGTGAGGACAGCCGGAG